GCTTCTTACACTCTGCCACTGTAGAATTGTCTCTGAGGTCTCTCTGCATAATCTCTACCTTGTGTCCTGTCTGTAGTAGTATGGTAGACTGTTGCTTCTATGTGGTGCTTAGTGCCTATTTTTATGCTGCTAGGATTAGTACCTCAGTGCTGTCTTTTAGTCTACCTCTTTCCAGCATTACCCGTGTGTGTGTGTGTGTGTGTGTGTGTGTGTGTGTATGTGTGTGTGTGTGTGTGTGTATGTATGTATGTATGTATATATGTATGTATGTATGTATGTATATATCAGCAACCAATCATCACTTATATTCCCTGCTTCAAAATGCTAATTTTCAGAATCGCAAATACTGATAAGAATGGGGGGAGATTTTATAGCTCCTAATTTTTTTTTAAGATAAGGAGTAATTCCCTCTCATAAGATTTAAATCTATCTAGTATCGTAATTTTGCCCCAACTCCATTTAAAGATTTCAGTAACAGTATAAAGGCAAAGTCTTCGGAGGATATATACTGTAGATGTGTAATGCCAAGAAATCCTGGAGTATAAATGTCCCAATGAAATGAAGTTTAGATAAGGTGATCCATCTCAGAGAGCTTTTTGGGTTTCAACTGCTCCCAGATTGAAAGCCTACCAGAGAGTATACTAAGAAACAATTCAACTCATACCCCCATGTAAAAGTTGATGAATAAATAGGCAGAGAAAATGTATGTAATCTTGTGAATAATTTTCTAATCCCCCTATTTCCATATGATATATGCAAAGGCATGAATATGAACCAAGAGAAGGTCTTAAACTATATTTTTGTTAATAAAAGCTTTTCTAATCTCAATTTTCAAACACTCCAGGAATCTACAATTCCATTTTCTTTTCACAGCGTTAATGAACAATGGACATTGGCAATAGTCTTTTTTTTTCTTTCTCCTGAAATAACTGCCAAGAATTATAATAAGCCTATGATATGTAGTGGAGAAGTCTAAACAAGTGTGACTGTTCTGCACAAGTTATGTCATGGCTGCAGAAATGCAAACAGGAATACAAAAATGAATCCCACCTAATATAATTCAGAAGGTTGCATAACAGTGGTGAGTGGAGAGAAAAAACTGAATGAAACCAAGTACAGCATACACATTTCACTGATCATATGCAAAATAGCCCATAGTAGACAGAATACCTAACATTTTCATTCCACTCTCAGGAATTATATTGTATGACTTTCCACTCACCCTCAGCCAAACTATCCACATAGCCATACAAATAGCTTTGGTATTTGCAGGTGTTTCTTTCTATCATAGTCACAAGAGATTCTTTCCAATCTATTCATTTTATGGTCTTAAATCTATAGATCTGGACTAATTACCAGTTTTTCATCTGTCATTGCTTGGACAATAAAGTAAGGTACTGATATTATGTTGGTTTCTTTTCAACATTCAATAATGCAGTCGTAATTTTTTTTCAGAGTAATAAAGATATGTTGGCAGACACTGTTCAGTATTCAGTAAATTGCTGTCAGGAACTTGGTTAGCAACAATCCTTTTAAGGAATACAAAGTTTTCATGGCCTGAAAATATGTTTGTAATATAAACAAAAATATATTATCAAAGCAGCCCTCCCTCAAAGGAACTCAGGAAACGATGAGAATTATTTTGCAAACATCTTCTATCAGAAAATAATTATAAATTACAATTCTTTACATTTCTAATGAAAATCTGTAACAGTTAGATTGATAACCATACCCCTAGTAGACTGCTGTTTTTAAACGAATATTTTGTGAGTATCCTATGAGCAAATTTATGCAAAGTCTGATTCATACTTGCTTTTCAGTTTAATGGCTGCAACAAGGTTCATATCACTTAAGTTACAATGCTTTTGTTGAACTTAAAAATCCAGGTACATGTATAAAAGGACAATACCTATGGGTTAGATAATAAAAATGTAGACTTACTGTAGCATTGGAATAGTTCTAACGTCATAGAACAGCTTCTCAGGAATGTTGTAAAACTGATGTAAAAAAACATGTACAGTTTATTTCAGAGACATGAAGAAAAACTCTAAGTGGCATAACTGACACTAAAAAGACTAGTTCCTTTTGTAGTACAATGTATCTTATTATTTATGACAAGTATAGTTTCCCATCTTTTCAGTAAAAACTTATACTCAAGGAGGGGCATCTGTAGTTGCTCTGCCTCTTTTGAAATAGCATGCATTGTCACAATATAGGTATAGAAAAGGAAGGGTTCTTATCACAATGGTGCAATGTTCTTTTCACATATTGACTGGTTTGACCATAACCATCTGGGCATGGCTATTCCCAAGATTGCTTACAAAAACTCTTCACTTCTCTTTAAAATTTTGTTTTGATTCTGTAGATATGAATAGAACATTATGGGAATATCTTCCTCAAGAATATCAGGATAGAGTGATACAAAACTGCAGGATATATACATCTATGCCTTGAAAGATCAGGAGATTCCATTTATTCTTTTAAGCATTTGACCAGAAATACAATCAGAGGATTGAACAGTTCTCCCTTTAAAATTTAGAAGTTTAGAAATTTTAAAATGTTTTATATTCCTTCCAAGAGTAATGTTTATAGACCTAACTTTTCTTACTTCTGAAAAATGTCCAGTCCATTGTTATAGTCATATAGTATTTCTGGCATATACTTTATATTAGATATGTTGTTGTGAAAAACAACCAATATTGATAACATTGGGAAAAGGTGGGGGTTTTTTTAATTAAGGAAATGAAGAAAACAAAACTGTATCTTCATTGCAATTTCTACTTCATTTCCACAGCCAATGTTATAAGCTGTTACTCTGACAATGCCAGGAACAGCTTCAAGTTAATTAAGTGGTTCTGTCTTCTTGAAACGTTGATTGTGAAACGTTGTTTAAAGTGAAACAGTGCTAGCAGTTTCAGATTATTTTTAAGAAAAATTATTTTTTTTAGTATTATATCTTTATACCTGGTATTCAGTGGAATATTTTACTGTAAAAGAAGTTTGAAAGTTGTTTTTTTTTTACTGCCAACTAATCAAAATCTAATTGACAGCATTTGCTTAAAATGCCTACATTCAAAGATGATATTTAGCCTGTCAGGTAGCATCATCTCTTTTCAGCATGTTCCATTCTTCCTTGAACAGAAAGTAATTTCCAAAATCACGTTCAGCATGATAAATCTCCTATTTTCATTTTCTATAGCTGTTCCTATAGAGGTATCCTGTCACAGTGAATTATAAAACAATTGTTGACATATCCAGCTCAGATGAATTTCCACATAACACTGGGCATAGAATGAAGAATTAAATTAAAAGAAAGATGTTGTGGTTTCTAACCATCCTAGTTCATCCTAACCTTAGAAATGGAAGCTTAGAGTTTGCTGGCTAGAAAATCCTAGAAGAGAAAATCTGAGAAAAATCTATGTAGACATAAGGTAGATAATCACCTAAGCATGTTGTTGGAAAACTTATTAAGCTGAAATGAATGTTATACTGCTTCAGCCAAAGCTTTTTTTTATAATTATCTTGACTCCTTATTGGGGATCCACAAAAGGCATCTCCAAAAAAGTATCACCTGGAGAGTCCTGTCACTATCCTATTGGTATTGGAAGAAGTTTTAAATAAGACTCGTGGATGTCTTCTGGAGAGGGCAGGGGGCAGGCCAAAACACAGATGCAGTACAAGGTGCATATCATAGCCAAATGTTTATTAGACTGGAAAGAAATACCTTTAATATCCATGTTCATTAAGTATCTAAAGCAAAGAAGAACAGAGAACACGAGAGTTTTTGAGACTTAGAATAGTGGCTATTCTTCATGCTGAATATTTGAGAGGATGGAAGAAGGGAGTAGAAAGAGGAGAAACAGATAGTGATGGTGGTAGCAAAGTAGATGCAGTTGTCTACTGCTGCTGCTGCTGTTGCTTTCCTCAGAGCAGAAACTAATAATTGGGAGTTTCCTCATGCAGTTCACCTTCTAAATTCTAAAATTGCCTCCTTTGGCCCCATATCTATTGGGCTTACTTGCTTATTTCTTAGCACTGGTCCCTCTTCTTCCTCCCTCATATGCATTGCTATGCTTTTCTTTTCTTCTCTTATACTTTTCTTCTTTGACTGAGCCCCTTTGCTTCATCTGAAATGCTTTGGTTGGGTCTGCCCTTTCAAGGATTTCCTGTCTTTTTTCCTCCCTAAAATGTGTAGTTAACACTATCTTTTCGCCTTTTCCAGTCCATTTTTACTCTTTTCTTGCCCCTATCCAATTTCATTTCTTACTTTTCTTATGTTTGTTTAAAAAAAGAATATGTGTGTGTGTATGTATATTCAAAATTCCTGTTCAGTTTCTCTTTCTAATACAATTATATTGTTCATCCATTCCCCCCCACCAGGATACTCTCAATACAACAGCACATTAAACCGTAACAAAAGGGCGGACTGCTATTCATAACATGTAGAAAAGGAATATGAGAAACATATCAAAAACTTACATTTTGTTTCGTACATCAGTTTATTCACAGGTTTAATCTGCCCAGCTATACCTGGAACCCTTGTTGGTTAAGTGGATGCTGTGATAGAATATTTATTCCTCATGTGTTATTTTTCCATCAGTAATAAATGCTTTACATATATAAGCATTCATATGTTGTTGGTTATTTTACTGATTTCAAGATAAATGTCAGCAGATCATATGCAATAGAATTGCAGAATCTAATATTTGTTCTCTCCTAATATAATGAAATTGTGCACAAGAAAGACTTTTCTAAACAGATTAGAAGGTTTTAGGTTGTCAGATCAGCACAATGTAAAGTTGATTCTCTGTACCAGATAGTTCCTTGGGGAATGGTGGGGTATGAAGAGAAACTGATTTGCCCAACATTCCTGGATTGATTCCAGAATCCTAAAGTGAAACCAGCTTTCCAAAACAATAGTATTACAGTTAGACAATGACTTGGTGATTTTCTACTTTGCATTACATAAATGTTTTTTTTTTTTCATCATCTGCTTACAGCAAGTCCCACCAAACCAGGACGGGGAGGATACCCAAGTTCTGAAGAGGTGGTTCGGGAATCCAGCAGCACAACTGGCATGGTGGTTGGGATCGTAGCAGCAGCTGCTCTGTGCATTCTCATTCTCCTCTACGCTATGTACAAGTACAGGAACCGAGATGAAGGCTCCTATCATGTTGATGAGAGTCGAAACTACATCAGTAACTCAGCACAGTCCAACGGGGCTGTGATTAAGGAAAAGCAACCCAACAGCTCTAAAAGCTCCAGCAAAAATAAGAAAAACAAGGATAAGGAGTACTATGTCTGATCCCAACAACTGGAAAGAACAATTGTATAGAAATAGTCTTCATTTTATCTTGAGACATAAAACAAAACTTATTTACTTTACTTTTTATGAAGCACATACAAAGTTTAAAAAATGGGGAAAGGAATATGGGGAATGCAATTAGAAAGGAAAGACATTTTAACAAAACAAGGAATGACAAAATGAAATAAGCATTTCATACTCTGGTTTCTCTGAAACGGGAGTCAGTAAACCCCCTTACGTTCACAGTGTTTTCATTTACTCTGCCATCTTTCTGTTGCTGGAATGTTTCTGAAGAAGATGTTGGTACTACTGCACACTCATAAGGCAAAGAGTATTACTCCAAAACATCACCCAGCACAACACAAATTGTGACAAACTGAAACAAAAGATGAAATAATGCACACACCCACAGTAAAGAAGCTACCTATCAGTCTGGATTTAGCCAAAGTGCTAGCACTTTTCTGAGGAGTAAGTCAATCTGATTATCTGACAAGACTTCACCATTCGACACAAGCCCTCAAGAAGCAAAGGTTGAAACTGAGCTTGCTATCTGGTGCAACGAAACAATGATTGGAGCTTGGGTTTGAAATAAAGTGCTGGCTTTTCTGAATAAACCACATTTAAAAACAGAAGAAGCAAACATTTTTGAAAAAAGCCCCTTTCTGGTTGTGAGGAAAAAAATATAGCGGCCTTATTTTCAAAAATAACAATAAACAAAGAAACAAAATACATGAAATATAAGGCTTATTTTCACACACCGTTACCAATAAATCCTAAACTGAGGGCATAGATGCGATCATTGGAATAAAAAAATCATGCACGCTTAGTATGTTATTACCTATGTTTATATTAAAAACACATCTATATGTGCTTTCTGGACTGTGATAAGTGATGTTTTCTAGCCTGTTGTATAGAAAATGCAAACTATATCTGCTCTTCAACCATTTTTGGTAAACTCAATGTTCTAAGTGTTGCTAGGTATAGAATGTTTTATGACATCTGGAGCAACCAACATTTCTCTTTACTTTTACAGCCATGAGAAACTGCCACACTTTGTATTCCCTTCTTGTCTTCCTCCCTCCCTCCCTTCCTTCTTCCCTTCCTTCCTAGGTTTGATTTTAATTTACAGTGTAGTAAATATACTAAACAGGATGTGTATGAATGTATATAAGAGTCAGCTAATTTTCTTCTTAACTTGTACAGCCTCTCTTCTTTTGCAGTTCAGTTTTAGTAGTTTGTATGAAAGAAGTGGACTTTAGAAAGCAAATATATATAGATATAAACTTCATAATTTTCTTCACCAATTGTCTTTCCTCTCCTATGATACATTAGCAAGATCAATCACAATTATGTGATTTTAGCTCCTTTCTCTTCTTACCCATTAAACCCAACAACTGTTGATTTAAGTGACCTTTACACTCTAGTTCAACTTTCTGGCTACTTGTCCAGGAATTGAGAAAAAGGTTGAATTCCATGATACCTTTCATCTAAACCTTTATTATCATTTGCTTTTTATTTATAGTACATCATTAGAGAGTTGGTTGGTAAAGAAATTCAGAAATTTGCCCTTTAAAGTACTCTAGCTCCTCTCACTAAAGCCGCCCCAAGTTAGGAAAAATACTAATGTTCTCAACATAAACTATACAAAACAAGAACAAAAGTTGCACCTTTTGTCAAATGAGGAATGATTCTCCTTTTAACTATTTTTTAGTTGCCCAGCTCTTACTCTGAGCTTGAACAGAATTTGTTCTTCTAAGGTAATGAATACAGTGGTTTGGTAAAAAACATTCTCTAAGATTCTCTGCAAAGACACATGACTAAACATTACAAACATTCTGGTTTATATACATGCTTATGTTACAAATTTGCAAGTTTGTTTTTTTAACAACAAAGTGACTGCTGCACTGGGTTCCCAATGATATGTCATTCTGTAGCATCTTACTTAGAGAGATAAAAATACATTACATGGAAAGATAGTTCGGTAGAAAACCTGCCTTATTGTAGAAGGACTCCTGGGAGAATGTTCACACATTACAGACAGGAAAAAAAGGAATTTAAAATTAGCTTTAATCAACAAGGCACTGTATTTTCTTGTATGCTGTTTGCTGCTGTTAAGGCAAAAGACTGGGAACTGGTGTTCAACAGAGCAATACTTTAGAAATACAGTAGAACACTGCTAAATGATTTGTATAATATGCTTTGTATAAAGGGCTTGTGAGAGAAGAAAGGATGATGCATGTGACTATCTGAAAGCTATTTTGCGCTCAAGATAATCTGAAATTGTTTGGCCAATTGTCCTTGTATCTACCACCTTTTGCTGAGGGGAGGGCAGGAATAGGTTCATCCTGCATTATAACCATGACAGAAACCTGGCAAGCCATCAGTGAAGAATGGATATTCATAATCAGGAGAAAGAGTTTAAGCTTTGTTATTCACCTATGGCAAAGTTCATATGTGACTTCATATACTCGCTTTGTTACCCAACCTTTTCCCCAAGCAATTAACATACTTACTTTAAAGGGTAAGTGATGGGAGATTGCTACTTCTAGCAAAGGTATTTCAAGTTGATTTTTGAGGAGTTACTTCTGTTCTTCCTTGTTGATTTTGTGATTTAATAATGAGCAAAAAGTGTTTGCATTTATCAAATGTTTGCAGTAGCGATATTAAAACAGGTTTTTTTTTTCAAAATTGCATAACAAATTCATTAATACCATATCTATAATAATCTAATTTGTTTGACTAACGCTGCAATCCTATGCATAATTAGGGGGGAAGGGATCAGTCCCATATAATCATTGGGACTACTTCTGGATAAACATGCCTAGGATTCTGCTGGGATGAGATGGCTATGGGTTGTTTTTTTTATTACTGTATTGTGTTGTCTTTTTTTTTAACAAAACACTAAAAGAATATGTGAAATTATTCATTCCCAAAATATTAAAAAAGTTCAGAAGCCCTTAACCTTATAGTGCTTTCTGTGATAGATATTTACAATTTTTTTTAATTGTTGCAAGGCCAATTTATCCATTATTGGAAATGCTAAGCAAGTGGAATTTACCGTTTTGTTAATAAAATGTTTCTTAATACAATTGGTGGCTCATTATTTTTCAGCTCTTTGCACTGTAAGTCTGTTATTATCTTTACTCATCATTCCAGAGAGTGAGGTCAAAAAAGTTGAGGCTGTGGCCACAACTGTGTGATCAAGGCATCACCTCTTTTTATGTGTGTCATTGGATGTAATTGGATAGATCAAACACATGAAAAAGGAGCAGGGCTTCAATTGCCCAATCACAGAAACCACAAAAAAACATGTTTGACCCTCTATGGGGATACTCCCTGAAATTTGTGTAGTCCCCAAATCAGTTTCAATTCTCCCAAATTTTCCTCTTAATTATGTATGAAGCAGACCCACACAAGCTCATTCATATTAAAAGAGCAGGTGGCCACAACTGAAAATTAAGGAAGACTGTATTAGACATATCTTAGTTTGTTCTTAATAGAGGGTTTTGATCTGATTCACACATTGCTATGTTCACAGTTTATAAAATGAAATACAATTTATTGAGTTTGCTGAATAACACTAAGTTATAAATTACAGTTTAAAAAGTACTATGGCTGGAGCCATAGAATGCACTGAAGCATAATCAAACAAGCAACTTTATAACTTATTGAGGTGTCTGAACTCAATTTTTGTATTAAGAGTGATTAATCATAGCCTGTGCTCAGACTGATGGGCTGATTACATGGACTGGAATTAATTAGATAAGAGAGATCAGCTTTCTCTTTTTTTCTGAGCGCAGTTTTGAAGAACAGTTTCTTTTCTGCCTGCATCTTGATCCACAAAATAAAATAAAAAAAAACTAATGATTAATTTCAATTATAGGAACAGAAAAGTCTTATTACAACAAATGGAAATTTGGATGGTAAAACTGTATAATTGTGTCTACAGATAATTCAGACTTTTACTGATGGTCATCTTTAAGCACAAGCCAGATCCCTGCATCAGGCAAGGAAATGAACTAAACAGCCTTGGTGGTACAGTGGGTAGAATGCAGTATTGCAGGCTAACTCTGCCCACAGCCAGATGTTCAACCCTGACAGGGCTCGAGGTTGACTCTGTTCCATCCTTTTGAGGTTGGTAAAATGAGAACCCAGATGATGACATTGTACACTGCTCAGAGAATTCTGTAAAGCACTATGGAACAGTTTATAAGTCTAAGTGCTATTGCTAAGTGCTAAACGTCTTTAATCTAAATCTTATGATTCTATAAAGAGGAAATGACTCCTATGTTTGCAATGGGGACAGTACTATAACTACAGAGCTTATCGTTAACTCCTAGTTTATTCCTTTTTTGTCATGCAGTTCCAATGTTAGAGCTGCTCATTGTACATAAATCCTAGCTATGTACCAACAAGAACTCTGAAATCTGGAGTGAAATATCCCTAGTAAAACCATTATGCAGATTTGTATTTAATGTGATTTATGAAGGATGGAACTGTTTATGCTACAATCTGCCAAATCAGACACAATTCACAGTCAAGTACAGAGACTGGCAGTTCTTTAGAAATATGAGAAAGATATTGAACTCTAAATGGCTGTCATGTATGACTCATCTTGGTGCCAATACAAAATTTCCAAACAAGAGTTTGTTTCAATCAAAGGGGACATACTGGAAATGAATGTGATTTGTTGCTGTGTTTACAAGCAGTTATAGGTCATTCTTAACTACCAATACATGGAGCTTTCAAATGAATTTAGACTTAAAATGGATATGATTTGGAAATAAATGCCAAACTTTCTTCTTTGCTATTTTGATTGCAAATGTTTATTCTCACAAATGAGAAAGACCTCTGATTTTTAGAATGTGTTAGAAGAAAATTTAAGTTCACCATACAGGAATTCCATTACATACAATCTACAGGTAGTTCTTGACTTACAACAGTTCATGAAGTGACTATTTTAAGTTACAACAGCACTGGAAAAAGTGACATGATCATTTTTCACACTTATGACCATTGCGGCATCCTGATGGTCATCAAAATTCAGATACTTTGCAACTGACTCATATTTATGATCGTTTCAATGCCCTGGGGTCATGTGATCACCTTTTGTGACCTTTGGACAAGCAAAGTCAATGGGGAAGCCAGATTCACTTAACAACCCTGTTATTAACAACTGCAGTGATTCACTTAACAACTGTGGCAAGAAAGGCCATAAAATGGGGCAAAATTCACTTAACAATTGTCTCAATAACAGAAATTTTGGGCTCAGTTTTGGTCATAAATTGAGGACTACCTATATTCAATTGAGAAACCTATTTATAAGGACATTCTTGTCCATTTTCCTGGCACTCTCGTGAAGATGGAACAGTATACATCTTTATATTGTAACTGTTTTCCCTTACTCTCACATGAACCATTAGCAGTGAAACGCATTGACTAAATGAGTTGGCACAATTCTAAAATATGTCAATAGAATATAGTTCTAGATAATAAAATGTAATTGCACTATTCTGATTTTATCTGTCCTCACCTAGATTTCTATCTAATTGTGGAAACTAGAAAATTACCAATTAATTTGAACATTTTGGTCCCAGTGATCCTCAAATATTTTCATAAACTTCTTAGATGAAAGAATGCTCATCAGATCAAAATTGAAAAAGATCTTAACAAATGTCAGCATTGGGTTTTATCCAAGAAGATACAGTAAGGTTCTGGACTTAGGAAGGAAAAAACCAAATGTATAGGTATAGAATAGGCAGTGCCTGGTTCAACAGTAGTGTTTTGTGAGAGAGATCTTGGTGTCCTGGTGGATCACCACTTAATTGTGAGTCAGCAATATGCTTCAGCTGCCAAAAAAGCCAACACAGACCTAGACTGCATCAACAGAGAAATAGCATCAAGATTATGGAAAGTGATAGTACTGCTCTATACTGCACTATTGATACTGGTTCAAGTTCTGGTCACCATGATACAAAAAAAGTGATGATGCCCTAGAAAGAGTTCAGAGAAGAGCAGCAAAGATGATAAGGGGTCCACATTATGTTTAGAAGAGAAGACACATAATGGTAATCTTCCAATAACTGAAATTTCAACACAGGAAAGAGGATGATGATTTATTCTCCATTCATTTGCTGATATATTTGTAACCACATCCCATTCTTCTCAATAAAGTGTGCTACACAGAGCTCTGTAAGAATTTTGTTTGTAAAAGAATCATGTTTGGTTTTAGGCAGCTGCCGAAGACCCTGTGTCTACATTGGCACAGATTCCATTAAGACAGGACTAAGCTTTCAAAAGTTTTCTTACTTGAAACAAGCACCTTGAAAATCACAGGTCACTTTAGAGTTGTAATACTCCTATGACATGTTCTTACTGATGTAATGCATTACATTAAGAGCCTTTTTACTTCTTAGAACCTACTCATCAACATGAAGGCAGATATCTTAAATGCATCTTATTGGTTCATATAACCTAATTAATTATAAATAGAAAATGTTCATGCATATTGTTAATACAGATGGGCACTATAATATGCTTTAGATGAGCACAGTGTTTTATAATATTCATTGACATTGATTCATTTGCTTTATGTTAGAGATTCAAAGGACACTCAGTTTTGTAATCAGCCAACACGAAACTGGGGCATTATGAGTTCTAGTGCTGCCTTTGAGATGAAGCCAACTGAACGATTTTGACCCAGTTATACACATACTCTCTCAGCCCTAAGAGGAAGGCAGTGGCAAACCACTTCTTAAAAAGTTGTTGCAAGAACCAACACAGGCAGTCACCCTGTGTAATGTGTATATGGGAATGACCTTGGCAGACTGGTCCCAGAGATGCTGCCTAGGGAATGGACAGATAAGAGGATCATAGTCTGCAGCTGGATAGTGGGTGGGAGCAAAAGGCTCAGAGAAGACCCTCCTCAATTTCTCAGGGTATAAGGGAGATAGGGAGAATTGGACTGTCAGACTTGCAAAATTATGTTAATATAGTCTTACAATAATGTAGAATTAGCTCATCTGGTCGGGTTTCATGTCTGGTCTACCTGATAAGCCTATCTTGCAAGTCAAAGAGACAAAGATAGCAGTGTGGTGGACTATAACTAGTTTGTTAACAGCAGATGTTCAGGGCAAGTGTATCTTATGGGCATTGGGCATCATACCAGCGAGCTCCACATGCATATGGCTCATAACCCTCCACAGATTCATTTCTGAATTAAACCATCACATTATGATGGAATTCAAACAACGTGCTTATCTAAAGAGCCTGAGTAATAGAATTGGATCTATAAAGCTAATTGCATTGTATAAACCTGAAAAAGCCATCATTACCCACTGCCATGAACAAGAATTTGAAACAAGTAATTATTTGGATATCTTCCTGATTATTTCTGCCTGCCCCAAGTCTGCCAGACAAGGCATGCTCTGGGTCCCATCTGCTAAGGAAGAAAAAGGTTGTCTCATGGATCCTGTCAAATGTGGCCCCTGCTCTGTGCTCATCCCCCCTGACGTGAGATTTGCCCCCTTTGACATCCTGCTAGAAGTCACTTAAAACTTGGTGATTATCACAGAGATGAGAATTTAATGAGGTGTTGACATTGAGTATAACATCTGTGGTCTTCCTACCCTTTTTAGTATTTTTGTAATAATAATGTTTATGTTTTAGTGTATTTTTGTAACATTTTACAAGTTGTTTAAAATGCAATGATACATTTTATTGTATGCTGTCCAGATTCAATTTCTTTGAAATGGGTGGTATATAAATATGATAAATAAAATAAAGCAGACTTGGTTCCAATTTCCAGATTTTGCATACCAGTGTTGACAGACACTTTGGGTTTAACTAACATGTATAATGTTATTTAAGGTTCATCTGTTAACAGTATCTAAGATGAACATATTATGGAAATACTGTTTATGACTGGGAAGATCACCATCTAAATTCTTTATTCAGTCCCTGGATGTTGCTAAGTTGGTCTCTCTCTCTCTCCCTCTCTCTCCCTCCCCCCCTCTCTCACACATACACACATACCATATATAATGAGAGAGAAAAGAGAAACCATATTCATTGGTATTTAAAATTTGTG